CACAGTTCCAACCATTCCAGTCACAGTTCCAACCATTCCAGTCACAGTTCCAACCATTCCAGTCACAGTTCCAACCATTCCAGTCACAGTTCCAACCATTCCAGTCACAGTTCCAACCATTCCAGTCACAGTCCCAACCATTCCAGTCACAGTCCCAACCATTCCAGTCACAGTTCCAACCATTCCAGTCACAGTTCCAACCATTCCAGTCACAGTTCCAACCATTCCAGTCACAGTTCCAACCATTCCAGTCATTATTCCAGCCATTTCTCACCCCTGACATGCCCATTCCAGACAACCACTCTCGCGTTCCAACTATACTCAGTTCAGAGCATCTAAGGATACGTTACAGCACTTAGGCAGCGTCCCGGCCATTAAGAGTCGCCTCCAGCCTCTATAACCAAACATTCCAGCCGTCTTCATGTGTATTCCAGAGGCAGGTCTGGAGGGACGCGGCTTGGACGCTCGCTATGGAAATGGAAGAAACTTTCCAATGGAAGCGCGCATGTACTCACCTGTGTGTTAGGGATATACCTACACAGCTTTTTTCATGTGTTTAATCAATTTCTGTACAGTGGTTTACACGAGGTTTACTAATATACCCGTGTTGGCTTCAGGTACAGAGATGCTGTCCGCGTGCTCGAGTGCGTGTACTCGCGTCAGTGTGGTCATCACCCCCCTTCCTCAAACAATGTAGAGATTAAACCTCACTTATGTTCCATTGTTACGTATTTCCCGCTGTCATTACCGTGGCGCAGAAGAGTCCCCCTCGCACGGCTCTTAACAACCTCTCCTCTCGAATAATAACACAGCAGTTGGACAAAAATCTCTTAAGAGACAAAATATGACGTACTAGAAATCACAGCGACACGCAAATAACCACATATTGTATGCGAGGGTCGTCGGTTAGGTTAAATTAGGTTAAAAGTTAGGATCGGTTCAGTCAATTTAGGATATCATTTTTGTACCGTGACCATTGGAGAGGACGGGCTGGTGGATTACCTGATACCAAGTTCGGTGTCAAGTTCGCCTTATACTGCTAAAGCAATACTGTTCGCTTTATACTGCTAAAGCAATACTGTTCGCTTTATCAGGTCCCATTATTTTGTCCGTCCTCACTCGCTTGTCTTCCTCAGACTGACAATCCGGTGCGACTTTCCTACCCACTATTCACGCTCTTCAGCTCCTGCACTCGCTTGGACTGAAATCAAATAACCATTTTCAGACCACCTCTCTAATTGCTTCAGGTCCACGTATCCATGACTGCATGCAACTCCAACAAGTCGGACTGACATGCATGGGCCCGAAGCAAAATACAGATAAAAATATATTTTTGTTGATTTTGTTGATAAAATCAATTTTTGTCTTCCATGGATCCCATACTCCATGTTGGTATCTGACTGCTTGATAGAACTAAAGAGTTAACAAAAACCATATGATCTTAAAGAGGGACTTGATTACACCTTTCGATTGCCACTGAACAGCCATGAGGCCCAGTAATATAGTGAGTACTTCAACAATATTTCACTGACCTTAATCAGTGACATCTACATCTACGTCAGTGACATCCAACTATCATCATACTACCACATGAAGGAAGAACCACACACACACATATATATATATGGGTCATCCAGTAAGGTCACCTCACTTCTAGTCGGTATTACTCGTAGCCTTAGACTCGGCTAGATGTAACTCCGGGAGTCTACATCACCTGCTGAAGTACATCTGACCAACAGTAAATTTCTCAACAAACGTTTCCCCCTTTCCTACGTTAATGTGCAAACGAATATGGAAAATCCAGGAATTTAGAAGCCACTTTTATCTCTCATGTTCAAAAATATAATTTTGATTAAATTAGGAATGAGTGCAACTCATAACCAGGTACCCCAAGTTCAGTTAGTGCAGAGATCGCGCGCACACACTCTAAGATTGCACCACCTGCATGATTGCACCTCCTGCATGTCTCATAGTTGCGTAACCCATGACGAGGAACTGACACGATAATTACAGTACTGTAATTAAACTAATACCTGTAACTGTTTGTAAATTGGTTCACCACACTGTATAGATTGTAGAACATCAGGCTCAAGTTCTCAAGGCGTTAGTTAGGCGAGTATCATGGTCTGTTCGCCACGCATCAGACGACGGATCTGGGGACTATTTTAAACATGGTCACATAAGTATAGACTCCACAAAACCAACGCATGAGGGGGGAAGGGGGAAGGGGGGAAGGGGGAAGGGGGAAGGGGAAACCACAAAACAACAATACGAGTGTCGAACATAAAACCAACCACGCCAACTACTCTACGCTCAGCTTCCGCAAACATTTCCTGCGCCATGCCCTCTTCCCCTCCTCTCTCCCATTCCATCCCCCTTTCCCTTTTCACCCCTCCAGCCACCCTATTTCTCTCTATCCTAACTACCCCCCTCTCTCTTCCTTCCTTCCCCCCCCCTCCCTCGCCCCCTTCCTCTTCCTAACACTAAAAGTTTTGTGCTGGCTTTCCCCACGCGTCCGGGCGGAGGGCGGAAGCAGCGGGCGGAGTGATTATGTCATGCAGCTCTGATACTCCGCCCCGTTCTCATGGCCACGTAAAAGATTTATGAGGAGTAATGCAAGAGTAATAGGAGTCGGGTGGATCTTGTGAGAGGTGCTAGTGAGGGACAGAGGGGTGAGGGACAGACGGGTGAGGGGTTGAGAGGTGGTGGGGAAAAACTGTTAGGTTATATATATTATACATACACTCAAAACAATGTTACATAAACACATTGATGCTCCCCCCCCCCCGTATATCCATGAGACACATTCACGCCCTTCCCCCACACACACACACACAAATACAAGACACATTCATTCCCAAGACACACACACACACACACACACACACACACACACACACACACACACACACACACACACTAGACCTGTATCATTGACAAGTGTAATAGTAAAAATATTGGAAAAAATAATTAAAAGTAAATGGGTAGAACACCTGGAGAAAAACGATATAATATCAGGAAGACAGTATGGTTTTCGATCTAGAAGATCCTGTGTAACGAACTTAGTTTCTATGATCAAGCCACAGAAATTTTACAAGAAAGAGATGGTTGGGTTGACTACATCTATCTGGATCTGAAAAAGGCTTTTGATAGAGTTCCACGTAAGAGGTTGTTCTGGAAACTGTAACATATAGGAGGTATGACAGGTAAGCTGCTAACATAGATGAAAAATTTTCTGATAGAAAAATGAGGGTAGTAATCAGAGGCAATGTATCGAACTGGAGAAATGTCAAAAGTGGAGTACCACAAGGTTCAGTTCTTGCACCGGTAATGTCCATTGTCTACATAAACAATCTACCAGATGGAAAACAGAATTATGAACATGTTTGGTTATAATGCTAAGATAATAGGAAAGATAAGAAACATAGATGATTGCCATGCCCTTCAAGAAGACATGGACAAAATAAGTATATGGAGCACCACTTGGCAAATGGAATTTAATGTGAATAAATTACATGAAACATGATTACCTATCATGGAATGGGAAATTGGAGAACATAGACCCCACACAACCTATAAATTATGTGAGAAATCTTTAAAGAATTCTGATCAAGAAAGAGATCTAGGGGTAATTCTAGATGGAAAACTGTCACTGTTTCTAGATACTGTCACCTGAAGACCACATTAAGAACATTGTGCGAGGAGCCTATGCTACACTTTCTAATTTCAGAATTGCTTTTAAATACATGGATGGAAAAATACTAAAGAAATTGTTCACGACTTTTGTTAGGCCAAAGCTGGAATATGCAGCGGTTGTGTGGTGCCCATATCTTAAGAAGCAACAAACTGGAAAACGTGCAAAGACATGCCACTAAATGGCTCTCAAAACTGAAGGGCAAGAGCTACGAGGAGAAGTTAGAGGCATTAAATATGCAAAAACTAGAAGACAGAAGAAAACGAGGCGATATGAATCACTACATACAAAATAGTAACAGGAATCGATAAAATTGATAGGGAAGAATTCCTGAGACCCGGAACTTCAAGAACAAGAGGTCATAGATTTAAACTAACGAAACAAAGCTGCCGGAGAAATATATGAAAATGCACTTTTATAAACAGAGTGGTAGACGGTTGGAACAAGTTAGGTGAGAGGGTGATGGAGGCCAAAACCGTCAATAGTTTCAAAGTGTTATATGACAAAGAGTGCTGGGAAGACGGGACACCACGAGCGTAGCTCTCATCCTGTAACTACACTTAGGTAATTACACACACACACACACACACACACACACACACACACACACACACACACACACACACACACACCTGTCATTCCCCTGCCTCCCTCGGAGTACAGCACAGGGTGAAGCTATGCGATCATGTGTTTACTGTGGCGCAGTAATTAATGGCGTGTTTACAAACGCTGTCTAAACACCGACGTCCCTCGCGGCCCCTGCAGTTAAAAAAAATATATATTTTTTCGACCATTGTTTTCCGATCAGTTTCGTTTTAACTCTGATATTTTTCACATCAAAATTAAATATATTTGTATAAATTTTCATGATAAGTTTACATTTAAGTTGTTGAACGTTCAGACGTTCTCGGAAATTATTTTGTTCTGCATTTTTGTTAATTTCGCTGATTCAAGATGGCGTGTGATGATGTAAGAGTAACGAGTAACTAAGAGTAACGCATGTCTGCTAGAATGACGCTGCGTACACGCGCTGCTGGACGCGACAATGGCTGCATGGCAGCATTCTGCGTTTGTAAACTCTTGAATGGACAAATGGTTTAATTAAAATGGCAAAGATATTTATTGTCGAACTCAAATTACAAATTTAAACTAAAAATATCCGGAGGCTGGGTGATGTATGGCGCCGGACACAGGTATAACTACGCTATATTGATACTTGTGAGAGTATGAGTCGGACATTCCTGTGATTCCCTGAGGTAGAGTGCAAGGTGCCAGAAGTAACAGTGTGTTTGTGTGGATGTTTCAGCATGGGTCGCCAGGTGGTTCCGGTAACAATGAGCGAGGACGGCGGGCAGGCAGCTGGCGGCCAGGTGGTGATAGTGTGCGAGGACAAGGCCACCAGCACCGACGACGAGCTCCTCGGCTCTCCCTCGGCGGACGATGTCTTCGGCCCCGACAACTGTTTCCGGTACATGGCCCACACGGCCCAGCTGTGGGGGGCGGACCTGGTGGGCCTCGAGCGCCCCCACAGCGCCCGTGGGGGGCGCTACCTCCGCCACCAGGAGTCCCTCAGCAGCAACAGCGACGTCTCTCGGCCGCACCGCCAAGTCAAGCTCCGGAGACAACGGGCGTCGGAGTCCGGCGACACCGACAAGCGGCCGAAGACGAGGGAGCTGAGGCGGCAGTGGACCACCGACTCCTCCGACTCCGGGTACTCCAAGCGGTACTCGCGGGAACTGCGCCGCCAGGACACGGAGGAGTCGGCCGACTCTACCAGACGACTCATCCGTGACCTACAGCGCCAGCCGACCACCGAGTCGTCGTCGTCGCTACGACTGACGCGTCAGTCATCTATCCGCAGCGCTTCCGACAACCAAAGCCTCTGTCTCCTGCGACAGTCAACCGTCGAGACCTACGACGACATCTCCACGACCGACTTTTCCAGGCCGCAGTCGTGCAACAGCAGCCGGAACCCCAGCGCGGCGGGCGCCATCACGGACTACCCCGCCCAAACCCCCACTGACGCCGCCCATCACCACCCACAAGCCGCCGCCGCCGCCTGCGGCCACACCGTCCTCACCGAGTATGCCGCCCCAGGTCACACCCTCACCTACGACCCGCAGGACCTCCGTGACCTGGTCAACGGGTACGACTACACCGTCGGTGCCATTCCTGCCAGGGCGAGAGCCCCGCTGCTCTCCACAGCCTCATGCTCCCTCATAAATCTCAGCGCCGTGGACCTGGAGGCCGCGGAGATCACGGAGCTCCACAAGAGCCTCCGGGCGCTGGGACCCGCGGCCCAGACCAAGACCAGGCGGAAGAGGTCTCGTCGGGGGAGCGAGACCGAGGCCCTGAAGCAGGCCAAGGAGCGAGTGAGGCGACGGAAGGAGGACGAGGAGATGCCCCGCAAGGTGAGGTGGTCCATCATGGCCACCGGCCTCATTCTCCTCCTCATGTCCGTCATCCTGGTGGGGGCGACGCTCAAAATGGCGCCGCTCATCGACGAAATGGGTGAGTGGTCGTTATTATCCCAGCACCACGTGTGGCCCCTGTCTTATATCCCAGCACCACGTGTGGCCCCTGTCTTATATCCCAGCACCACGTGTGGCCCCTGTCTTATATCCCAGCACCACGTGTGGCCCCTGTCTTATATCCCAGCACCACGTGTGGCCCCTCTCTTATATCCCAGCACCACGTGTGGCCCCTGTCTTATATCGAAGCACCACGTGTGGCCTCTGTCTTATATCCCAGCACCACGTGTGGCCTCTGTCTTATATCCCAGCACCACGTGTGACCTCTCATATCCCAGCACCACGTGTGGCCCTTGTCTTATATCCCAGCACCACGTGTGGCCCCTGTCTTATATCCCAGCACCACGTGTGGCCTCTGTCTTATATCCCAGCACCACGTGTGACCTCTCATATCCCAGCACCACGTGTGGCCCTTGTCTTATATCCCAGCACCACGTGTGGCCCCTGTCTTATATCCCAGCACCACGTGTGGCCTCTGTCTTATATCCCAGCACCACGTGTGACCTCTCATATCCCAGCACCACGTGTGGCCATTGTCTTATATCCCAGCACCACGTGTGACCCCTCTCTTATATCCCAGCACCACGTGTGGCCTCTGTCTTATATCCCAGCACCACGTGTGGCCCCTGTCTTATATCCCAGCACCACGTGTGGCCCCTGTCTTATATCCCAGCACCACGTGTGGCCCCTGTCTTATATCCCAGCACCACGTGTGGCCTCTGTCTTATATCCCAGCACCACGTGTGGCCTCTCTCTTATATCCCAGCACCACGTGTGGCCTCTGTCTTATATCCCAGCACCACGTGTGGCCTCTGTCTTATATCCCAGCACCACGTGTGGCCTCTCTCTTATATCCCAGCACCACGTGTGGCCCCTGTCTTATATCCCAGCACCACGTGTGGCCCCTGTCTTATATCCCAGCACCACGTGTGGCCCCTGTCTTATATCCCAGCACCACGTGTGGCCTCTGTCTTATATCCCAGCACCACGTGTGGCCTCTGTCTTATATCCCAGCACCACGTGTGGCCTCTGTCTTATATCCCAGCACCACGTGTGGCCTCTGTCTTATATCCCAGCATCATGTGTGGCCTCTGTCTTATATCCCAGCATCATGTGTGGCCTCTGTCTTATATCCCAGCACCACGTGTGGCCCCTGTCTTATATCCCAGCACCACGTGTGGCCTCTGTCTTATATCCCAGCACCACGTGTGGCCTCTGTCTTATATCCCAGCACCATGTGTGGCCCCTCTCTTATATCCCAGCACCACGTGTGGCCTCTGTCTTATATCCCAGCACCACGTGTGGTCTCTGTCTTATCCCAGCACCACGTGTGACCCCCTCTCATCCTAGAATCAAGGTCGACTAGGATGAAGCTTGATACCTGGTTGATACCTGGTTGATGGGGTTCTGGGAGTTCTACTGCCCAAGCCCGGCCCGAGGCCAGGCTTGACTTGTGAGAGTTTGGTCCACCAGGCTGTTGCTTGGAGTGGCCCGCAGGCCCACATACCCACCACAGCCCGGTTGGTCCGGCACTCCTTGGAGGAATAAATCTAGTTTCCTCTTCAAGCTTGGTCTCCATTTACGACATATTTTTATGGGTTTCTATCGGCGAAGATTAGCCGTGTCTCCTCTTCTCTCCACCCTGCCTTAGTGCACGGCGGACCGTGTCCTGCTGCGGAGGACCGTGTCCTGCTGCGGAGGAGCGTGTCCTGCTGCGGAGGAGCGTGTCCTGCTGCGGAGGAGCGTGTCCTGCTGCGGAGGAGCGTGTCCTGCTGCGGAGGAGCGTGTCCTGCTGCGGAGGAGCGTGTCCTGCTGCGGAGGGGCGTGTCCTGTCGCGGAGGAGCGTGTCCTGCCGCGGAGGAGCGTGTCCTGCCGCGGAGGAGCGTGTCCTGCCGGGGAGGAGCGTGTCCTGCCGCGGAGGAGCGTGTCCTGCTGCGGAGGAGCGTGTCCTGCCGCGGAGGAGCGTGTCCTGCCGCGGAGGAGCGTGTCCTGCCGCGGAGGAGCGTGTCCTGCCGCGGAGGAGCGTGTCCTGCCGCGGAGGAGCGTGTCCTGCCGCGGAGGAGCGTGTCTTGCCGGGGAGGAGCGTGTCCTGTCGCGAAGGAGCGTGTCCTGCCGGGGAGGAGCGTGTCCTGCCGCGGAGGAGCGTGTCCTGCCGCGGAGGAGCGTGTCCTGCCGGGGAGGAGCGTGTCCTGCCGCGGAGGTGCGTGTCCTGCCGGGGAGGAGCGTGTCCTGCCACAGAGGACCGTGCCCTGTGAGGTAAGTGAATTATTCGGTGTTGGGAAACCATTTAATTCTTACTATTCTTACTGAATATGTGGGCTTGTCTGGTTCGTTGTGGAGGGGCCCCGCACGCATGCGTACACACACACGTGCACACACACACACGCACACACACACAAACGTGCACACACACACGCGCACGCACACACACACACAGCATCGAAGGCTTTAGGCAACTCAGTCTAACAACAGTAGGAAAAAACTGAAAGGTCTGTGATTCCCACATTTACACAGTTGCTAAGGACAGTCTTTTCAATCAAGAGAAACGAGAATGTGGAAGCCGGAAACAAAAGGGATTCAGAGAGAGTCACTAAACACTCATATGATATTAGTGTACTCCACAAGTGTAATGCATTGACAGTAGTAGCGGAAGCCACCTCCAGCCTTTGTTTCAAGCACAACTAAAGCAAAGAAACAGAAAGACACACATTCACAAGATCGTGAGAAAAAACCTGGTAACACATCTGGAGAGAAGGGACTTCGTGACAAATCGCCAACATGGGTTCAGGGAGGGTAAATCTTGCCTTACTGGCTTAATAGAATTCTACGATCAGGAGACAAAAATTAAGCAAGAAAGAGAAGGATGGACGTACTGCATTTTTTTGGACTGTCGGGAAGCCTTTGACACAGTACCTCATGAAAGGCTGATGCATAAGCTGGAGAGACAGGCAGGAGTAACTGGTAAGGTGCTCCAGTGGATAAGGGAGTACCTAAGCAATAGGAAGCAGAGAGTTACAGTGAGGGATGAGACCTCAGATTGGAGTGAAGTTACCAGTGGAGTCCCACAGGGCTCTGTACTCGGACCTATCCTGTTTCTGATATACGTAACTGATCTCCCAGAGGGAATGGACTCATTCCTCTTAATGTTTGCTGAAAATGCCAAAATTATTAAAGGATTGAAACAGAGGAGGACAGTTTGAGGCTTCAAAAAGACCTGGACAAACTGCAGGAATGGTCGAACAAATACTTGTTACAGTTTAACCCAGGCAAATGTAACGTAATGGAGATAGGTGAAGGGAGCAGGAGGCCAGATACAACGTATCATTTGGGAGATGAAATACTTCAAGAGCCAGAGAGAGAGAGAAAGAATTGGGGGGTTGATATCACGACAGACCTCCTCTCCTCCCCCCTGAAGTCCATATCAAGAGAATAACATCGGCGGCATATGCCAGGTTGGCCAACATGAGAACGACCTTTAGAAACTTGTGTAAGGAATCATTCAGAACTTTGTATTCCACATATGTCAGACTAATCCTGGAGTATGCAGCTTCAGCATGGAGTCCATATCTAGTCAAGCATAAGCCTGAATTGGAAAAGATTCAAAGGTTTGCCACCAAATTAGTACCCGAACTGAGAGATATGAGCTACGAGGAGAGACTACGGGAACTAAACTTCACGTCACTGGAAGATAAAAGTGTTATGGGGGACATGATCACCACATACAAGATTCTCAAAGGAATTGATAGGGCAAATGAAGACAGTCAACTTAACACAAGGGTCACAAGCACTAGAGGACACAGGTGGAAACTGAGTGCCCAAATGAGTCACAGAGATATTAGAAAAAACTGTTTTTAGTGTTAGAGTGGTTGACAAATGGAATGCACCACACATTATGTGGTGGAGGCTGATTCCATACACAGTTCAAATGTAGATATGATAGAGCCCAGTAGGCTCAGGAACCTGTACATCAGTTGATTGACAGTTGAGAGGCGGGACCAAAGAGCCAGAGCTCAACCCCCGCAAGTACAACTAGGTGAGTACACATGGCAGAAAATTAAGAGGGAAAATTATCTAACCAAATAAAGCAAGAGTTCATGTAGAAAACAAAACAATTGCAAACACATGAGCCAAGCTCTTGATAGTTGAAGAAAAAAATATGAAGGGAAGAGCAAGGGATCCCCGCGGAGGGTCACACTACTCGATATTGCAGACATGAGCTGTGTTGTGCAGCACGTTATTGAGCCATCAAGAGAAACGGGAGGAGATAAGCAGGCAGTACCGAGGCGACAGTGTACACGGAGACAAGAGAACATTGGTGAGATATGATGCATGGGACCACGCTGAGCCACACACCATCACACCACCGTCAGCGACGCTCTACTGCGGGTATTAAACATCAAACAGAGAAATGAGTGAGGAAAAAATGAATTAGGGAAATTTCACAGTTGTAAGTAGATACTGGAGCAAGAATAAGTGGGATGAGGCCATCAAAGGAAAAGAATCCAAAGAAGTGAGTGAACACATTAGTTGAAGTTGTACATAGCGCACAGACAAGCGCAGCACAGAGCGAAGGAAGTCAAACAAATAGGACTTACTCAGGGCTCAACATAATATATAAGAGGCACCAAAAATGCTGAGTGCGACCGATTCAGTGGATTATAAAGACCAAAATAATACGGCTGAAAATCACTATTCAAAGACTACAAGTTATGCAGAACAGGACGCAAATTGCATTGCGGTGAGGGGCCAGGGACCCACCTAGACTAACACCAAAAACAATAACACGCCGAATTAAATCAAGATAAAGAAAGGCGAAGATCTGACCTAAAGTGACAAAGAGGCCTGTAAGGAACTTTACATAAACAATATATTTACCTCAAGCTGCCTGCGTGTGTGAGGCTAGTGGCAAGGCTGCCGCCAAGAGCCTCAGGGTGTTATAACACACCACGCTCACAGGAGTTAAGATATTAACGCTCCGAA